TATTCACATATATTCACAAGAAAGAAAGAAGAGGAAGTTTATCAGGACTTATCTAAAAGTTATTCAACTTATGGGGGAATTGCAAATCAATTAAGCGGATGACCTGGTGGACATCCAGCCGGTAGTCTGGTAGGTCGTCCGGTGCTCAAAAACAACGGTTTTGAACAGTGAAATGCTAAAATGTCTCAGACGTTCTCAATTTGGTGAAACATTTTTGATATTCAAGATTTGATACGTATTTGGTGAAACCGTTGGATAAAGAAAAGAAACTACTTTTTATCAAATTTAAATTTAGTGATGAATTTGATATACAGTTGGAGATGGCCTTACAAGCTCATCTCTTTTAGAAAATGGCATCCAATGCAAACAATCTTCAAAAAGTTCTTTTATTTCTCTCTCTCTCTCTGTGGATAACACTTCTTCTATCAGTTTATTTTAGAATTTTTCATGCTAATGCATCAAATGACAAAATCAAATTATCGTAAATTGATAAAAAATTGTTTTACAAGTAGATGCATGAATGGTTGGGCTACATGGGTAGCTAATTTCTAATCTGCCCAACTACTACAGCTACTAGCACAGCTCATTCATTGTTAAGATAAATGCAATTGGTCTTGTCAAATTACTTACTATCTTCTTTTTTTCGTCATTAGTAAAACTTCTCGTTCAATCCATTAGATTAGAGGGTAGTTTGACTTGACCACCTTGCCAGTTGTAATTTGTTATCGACTTCATTATCCTAACTTAACACTGATCTAAAATTTGTTTTGAATTACATACACTACTTTTTTTTCTTTTTCTTTTTCTTTTTTTCCTTTCAAAATTTTCACCTATGTGGATGAAAATAATTAAGTTCATCTTGTGCCACCAAAAAGAAAAGAAAGTATAATTAAATTAAAGGTTTCGTTTGGCAAGTGACTTTTTTAATCAAAAAGTTAAAAAGTCATTAAAAAAATCAAAAAATCAACAATTCATACCAAAAAGTCAAAGACTCCGATTGGTTAGGGTTTCAAATTATAGTTTCACTCATTGATTTGAGTGTATTGTTTGTTTTGAGTTTTCAAATCATAATTCTACACTCATTACTCAAAATTCAATTCAAAATATAATTATTACTTTTCAAAACTCATAACCAAATACATAATTCAAAACTCTTTTCAAAACTTAATTCAAATCAATATTTTAATTTTTAAAATATTTAAATATTTAAATATGTTATGATTTTTTAATTTTTTAATTTTTTGAATATTTTTAAATATTTTAATTTCAAAATATTACGATTTTAATTTTTTAAATTTTAAAATATTTTATAAAAATAAATTCAAACTCTATTTTATAAAAATATTTTTAAATATTTAAATTTTTTTGTTATGTATTTGGTTACGATTTGAGTATAGAGTTGTGAAAGTAGTATGGAATTTCGAGTTATGCGTTTGGTTATGAGTTTTAAAAATAAATTCATAATTGACTTTTGTTTTATGTGTTTGGTTACGATTTGAGTGTAGAGTTGTTTTTAAATTTAAAATATTAATATTTGAAATTATTTAAAATTTTTGAATATTTAAATTATTTAAATTTTTACGATTTAAATTTTTTGAATATTTATTTTAATTTTTTACTTTTTAAATTTTTTAGATTATTTAAATTATTTAAATATTTATGATTTTAATTTTTTGAGTATTTATTTTGAAAAAAATTTATTTCCTCTGTAGTATTTTCAATTAAAAAATTGATTAATGTTATTTTCTATTAACAATAATTTTTTTTAATAGAATTCTAAAAGGTTATGAGTGTTGATCAGAATTTTCAATAGTGTAAAAGTAGTGTGTTTTGTTATGAGTTATAACAATTTGAATTAAGTTTTGAAAACTCATTCTAAAACTCATAACCAAACAAATTTTCTTACTTCACATGTCAAATCAAACTTTCAAAACTCAATTTCACACTCTATTCAACAAAAATCATAACCAAACAAATTTTCTACACTCAAATCATAATTTCACAACTCACAAACTCAAAATACAACTCATACTCTCAAATTATATTTACAAAACTTTACCAAACGCAACCAAAGATTTTCTTTTCTCTCTACTTTTTGCACATCTTTTCGTAAAAAGTCAAAAAGTCATCCCAAACATACTAGTTTTTTTTAGTTCATTTTTTAATCAAATAGCCAAAAAGTTACTAAATTAACATGTTCCCAAACGAGACCTAATTACATATTCCACCTTCTCTTCTCTTCTCTTCTCTTTCTTTTTCCTTTTTTTTTTTTTGTCTAATCTATTTCATTTATTTTCTTTCAAATATGATAAACAATGTATGTGGATATTTTGGAATGGAAATGAGAGTAATTCAAATTGTACTTCAAACAGTCAAGTGTTAAAGAATCATAATTGAGGACAAATATAACAACAAAAATCTCCTACAGGACCAACAATAAATTACTTTAGCTTAACCAGATGCACCACCATAAAAGCCAGAAGGTCCCGACCTATCTTGTATTTTTTTTAAAACTGGCTTACCCAATCACAACAATTCCTAGGACAAAGGCTCTCATATTCTCCAAAGATCCTCCATCAGTTTCCCCGCCAATTTTTTGTCGAAATCTATGTGAAAAAACACCATAAGAAGGGGGGTGGACAGACTTGTATAACCTCCCCTTCAACTGCATTTTTTCGTTTATTTTTGAAAGAAACCGATGATGAAAGCTACAACAAGAGAGGAAGGTGTGTTGAAATTGGTCCATCCCGGTAGGCACGTGGAGATTCACAGAGAACCAATAACTGCAGCTGAAGTCATGAGGAGGAACCCGAGGCACTGCGTTGCTCGGCCTGACGTGTTTGAGTTTCCATGGATTGTGGTTCGGCCTGAGTCAGTTCTGTTTCCTGGGAGAGTTTTCTACATCGTCCCTAATCGCACAATCCATCGCTTGTTAAAAGCCAGAGAGCAATACAACAACAACAACAACAACAAGCCTCCTCCAAAGCAAGACCAGTCTCCAAAGAATCATGACCATGATCATGATCATCGTCATGCTAATAAACAACAAGCCTTGACTCAAAGCAAGTCAGGAGCTAGATCGACACCAAAACACAACAAAAACCAGTACCAATGCATTAGGGGACCGTTTCAATGCATGTCATGGAACGGGGTGAGCCCTGAGGAAGAAGATCCAGATGAGAGTCACATTCAACAATCCTACAGTGAAATCAGAAGTAGTACAAGCCAAGAATTCAAACATGAAAATTCGACACAATCAACAGTTGGGACTAGATCGTTTCGCAAAAAAGAATATCATCGCAGAAGTAGCAGCACCTCTGCAGCACTGCCCAAAAATAATTGTGTGAAACCTTGTCTAAGGAAGAAGGACAGTATTCCTAAGTCCCATGATCTTAGGGTAAAATTTGCCTTCCCAATCACATCAAGAAGTGGAGAGTCAGCAGAATTTTTGCGCTTATCAATCTGATGAATCTTGTTAGCATTCCACAAATTCACAAACCTTAACACAATGTTAATTGTTCAGGCTCTTCATTAGACAGTGATCACATAAGCATGCCATAATTATCCCAACAGGTGTATTTATTTGTCAAGATTTTTAGTTTCTGCTCAGAATGTTGGGACTCTGCTATTTTTTCAGCTTATGAGATTATAAGAAATGATCTTCATCTATGACTCATGTACTGAAAAAGAATATGTATGTCTTCATCTACAACTCATGTACTGGCAGAGAAAATGTATGAAGAGGAGAGAGTTTTTAGAATCAAACAATCATGCAGTGAAATGCTAATAAATTTGAAACTAATTTTAGGTTAATTTTGGATGGAAAATTTTCATTTTTCTCCAGAATGTAACCTAGTCTATTTGGAACAGGTGAGGTTGGAGAGTCAGTTTGAGTAAGTATATCTAATTAGATGTGGGGTTGATTGGTGAGGTAGAGGAGAGTTGGGCTTGTCAACAAACCAACCATCTCTGTGCTTCATTTTGTTTTGTTACTGTGTGGTTTTGTACTTGGATCATTTATAAATACACAATTCCACTCTGTCCCCTTAAAGAACTATATATTTTGTGTTGTAATTGTCAGTGAGATAGCTATAAGATTAAGAGGAATGCTAATATCACTGGATAGATTTTATCACATACCAATGTAATGTGATGGAAACAACCAAAATGGTTCTACTGTTACTCTTATTTAACAACGACAGTCCTTCAAAAGATTTCAAGCAAGTTTTGAATTTGTGTGAGAGATTTTGACAACTTTAGCTGCACGGATATAGAAAATTAAGACCTCCAGATCATACTGGAAATATTTGGCAGAGACAACAATCTGGAATCATGACCTAACTGAGGATTCATTATGCATACAAAGAGGCAACAGGAAAGCACAACCACATTGGGTAGTGCGGATACTCGTAAGTACTAAACACTAGCCCCTCAACCGTGGATCCTGATGAGGATATTTTTGGTATTTCACAGCTTTTTCCTATAGCCCTATTACTACGTATCTGTTGATAAAGTGCAATATCTCTTTGTATTGTATTATAATTCTTTCAGATCATAGTGAAAAACCGTGGCGTAACCCTATTCTGCGGTGAACCATGTAAAAAATCTTTGTGCATATTGTGTGCATGATTTAGATTCTTGCTTTATTCCTGTTTGTGTTTCATGGTGTATCAATTCGTAACAAGCGATAGGTATCTTGAAAAGAGATCCAATAAATGAAAGTGAAATGGGGAAGGCCACAGGACTGTTAAGACACAGCAGAATCATCTATTGTCATGGCTTAAGCATATAACAAAAATTCCAAACAAAACATAATACAGGCATTTCATGGATTGTATGGATATTAGTTGAAAAATTAGCAGAATGAGGAATGATTTGAAAAGTTCAAAATGCAAGTAATATAACTGGTTTTAGCCCCAAATTGTATAATTTGATAACATCAAGGAAATTATCGAGGATTCCCCTAAAAGAGAAAATAAGTCGTCACAATAACATAAATAGATACGAAAATCAGAGTCAAATATTTGACATGAATTTACATCAGTAAATTACTATATATGAGGGTATGTCGCATGTTTACATTACAGAATCTTCTAAAAATTACACCAAAGTTGTAATCACCAAAATCATCACTTCCAATTGGAAAAAAAAGAAGAAGAAGAAGAAGAAGAAGAAGAAGAAGAAGAAGCTCCTTTCCATTGCTAATACAAAGCACCACAACTCGTATACAGGGTGGGAGGAAGAGAATTTGAAAAGAAATGAAACAAAAATGAAGAACATAGAAAGGTCACCGGGAACATTACTTGTAGTTACCCAACAAAAGCAGTCAAACAAATCCAAGTAATATGCTTGTTCATGTTCTTTCAATTATCTTTGAATCTGTTCTTTGTGAATGCTTTGAGGGAGAACTCGACTCCCTTGAAGAACTATGACCAAAAAAGTTCAGCTTGCCAATCTTCTTAGAAAAAGAGCTCATGAATTTATGAGAATTAGACTTTTCCATATCCCTCTTCATGCAAACATGCTCTTTCTCTAGATCATTTAGTCTCATCCTTAACCGAGCAAGCTCAAGTTTTAGCTCTCGGTTTTCACGCCTCAGTGATGCATAGTTGTCCCGGGGAGACATTGAAGCACTGAGTGCACCACTGCTGATCCGCCATGACTGGTGCATTGGCTTGTGGTCATCCTCCGGGTAAGAGCAGACCATTGCATTTCGGAGCCTTAACTGCTCAAAATAAAGCACCTGGACTATTGACTGGAGAGGAAGCCGTTCATTTTGAGCCGCATGTGCACCAGCTTCTTGGGAGAGCTTTTGAAAGTCAATCAATTTGCTGAGCTTTTTCTTGTCTTGATCTGATAAACTCTGATGAGCCTGCCATATGCATCCAAAATAAATCAAGCAAAAAAACATGCTCATCAATATTCAGATCTAAAATGCTGCTTTGTTGAGTAAGCTAATAAAAGGATTCTAAAGAATCAACTAATATCTTTCGTTTTTTACTTTTCCAGAGTTTTTTATACTTGTTATAGTTATGGGACCTGAAGATGATTATGCAAGTCATTAAATAGAAAAGGGAAAAAACAAAACATGAAGGAAAATATATAAGTGCGTACTTTGAGATAAATATCAATTGCTCGATACAACCCATCATGAATAGTACGTGCATGAGCCGGCAAGGTTTCTGCAATTGCTATGAACTTGTTGAGCTTGAGGTTTGCATCAGGGGCAATTTCAGAAAGGTAATTGTCCACTAGTTTTGAAACTTTGAACAATGCAGATTGAGAAGGTGAATGAGGACTATCGGATTCAAAGACTGAGCCATCTTCCATATCATCTTCACTATCATCTTGCTGAGAGAAATTAACCAAGATTCTATGGACAGTGTCAACATCAAATAAAGTATCACCAGCATGGCGGAAGGAGGGTATCAAAAGATCATCAAGACTAGCTATATCTAACTGGGACCCAATTCGCCTTTCAAGATCAAGCCTAGAAGAAACCATGCAATCAAGCATCACAGCGCTTCGTAAAAGCCCGAATAGAAAACTGATGGGAATTGCAAGTTTCTCAATGGGCAAAAGGCTGACAATTGTCTCAACTACAAGTCTTTCATGCACATTTGAACCAGCAACCACATCAACTTTTGGCTGGCTAGATGGATTCCATAAGCTGGATTTCTTAGTCAACTCTTTTTGGGCATAATTCATGAGCGATGCCCCTATACTCTCAGGCCTCACCCCACGGCATTTCATAGCCGATATGACTTTTTGATACAAGTCAATCCGGAGAACAGAGAGATCTTCAATCCACCAGTCTCCATCGCATTTGGCCTGGCGATTCATGTGAAGTCTTCCTGAGCTGCTATATTCTAGGCGTGAAAAGCTTGAAGCAATTTGCTCTACACAAGCTTTGGAGGCTATTGAATCAATGCATCGGTTGACTATATTTAGCTCATCAGCAAGAGGGAGTAGATTTTCACATTGTTGCAACACCTCAACACACATTTCAAGGTTCTTGCAGACAATACTGTCGATATATTCTTCAGCGCGAGAACTTAGATTATTTTTTGAAAACTCCTCAGTCATCTCTAGGTAATCGGACACACAACATAGCTGAGCAACATTTGCAGATGTGATCTCAAAGTTGACACCATAGCAAAATTTGGCAGCAAGCTCAAATGATTCAGCTCCCCCGGGTAGGTTAAGAAGCTCTATCCTTGAATTATCAGAATCTCTGTTTTCTGCTACCAACCTTCTGATATGCCCGCTCCGAGAAACAAGGGGGAACTGGATGTAAAATTAAGATAATTAGAAGTTATTATCAAACTAAGAATATACCACTCCACTAAATTGCATAAATAAATCAGTTAGAAATAAGTGGCAACCATATCACAACATGCTTAAACACGATTATTTTGACCCCCAAAAAAAATCCGTCAAAAGAATCAAATCTACTTAAACCAGCTACTACTCATTCAGTGGCATTTCCTCCAACCACTACTCATTCAGTGACTCCTCGACTTCAGTCAGTTCTAGTTACATTACATGATCCTTTCTTCTACCACTTGATTTTATTCTTTCCATTGTATTCACATTTCACACTACTTCACCCAGTAATTCCTAAAACCGAATTATTCAAGCCGTTTGTTTTTTCACATTCATAATCCCATTAGGTCCATGAACAGAACCAAGAACCGGATCCACAATCAACAAGAAAATAGTTTCATGTGGCAAATAAGTGGAGCACAGAAGCCATAAACGTCCTTTTTTCAAATATTTTGGGTGTGGGAGTAGGTAGGTGCAGGTATTGTTGATCCGATATGAGGACATCACCACAGTGACAAAAGATACAGGTGGGTCATTTGTAGACATCACAAGACTCCCTTCATATGATGAGAAAGAACAAAAACATTGGAATTATAGAAATGCAATTTGTTGATATTCATCAATTGTCCCATTGTGGAAGAATAAATTCATCTTTTAGAATGGTGAAACTTACTTTATGTAAGGCAAACATTCCACCGCTCACTTCTATGGTAATATCGCTAGGAACATCCCGGAATATCCTGCAAAGGGATGAACAGCCAGTTAACATCAAAACAAATAACAGAATTTGTACAACAATGAACAAGCAAATTCAAGATCGGAAAGGAAGTGGCTCTTGGAGACAAATAATATCACCAACTAGAAGTATAAAATATTCATGCTTTAAACATTTTTAAAATTACAAAACCAAACTAAAGCTTGTGTCCCAGTCAAGTGGAGCGAATCCATCTCACGTTACATGTATAGTTTTAAAAGCAAACAACACAAAATTCCAACTGAATTGAAAATATGCACAAAAGAACAATGTGATTGTTCACGATCTTCCAACAAGTTAGTGATGAAGTTACATTCAAGAGAATGGCCATCTTTAAGATTCCCTTATAGTTCTGCTACAAAAATGCTATTCATTAGCTGATGTGAAAAAAGCTTTTAAGTGGCAAGAAGAAGAAGAAGAAAAAGAATAAATTAAAGCTTTAAGTGGCTTTGCACCATGGACGGAAGCAAGTTAATGCCAAAGTTTTAGCTACCTGGCTTCAAGACCTTATCAAAATTCAATGGATTTTCATTTCTGTGTATAGACATGCGTGAATGACACTAAATCCAGACTCTTATCTTCTCCTCCCCTCATCCCCACAGAGAAATAACTAAGAAATCCCCAAAAGAACAAAGAAAAATTAATTATAAACTTAAAGCCCCCCAAAAGAAAAAAAAGAAAAAACACACACCTGGCCTGCTAAGCAATAAAAAAGAGGTCAAGTACAAAGTACAGAGCCCAAGAAGAATATTTCAAATACCCATCAAGGAGATGAGCCAAAACTGCTAGATGGCCAAAAATAACCAACAACTGAATCAATGAAACATCCACAGGCCATCTTATAAAAAACAATACCCATTAAACCAAAAAGAAAAAGAAATTCTAAAATTGAACTAAATCAGAACCCAAAAGACATAAAAGATATGATGAACAAACCATTCATTGTATCGCTGCCGCGAACACTTGGCCAGTGACAGCTGCTGCTTGTCCATGGACAGAGAAGAAACACAAGAGAGGGAAATTGAAATGGAAATGGAAATGGAAATTCTAGAGAGAGAAAAGAGGATAGTAGTAGGAGTGGGGTTAAGGAAGGGAAATGAGGAGAGAGACAGAGACCCAGTTGGTGATGTTGCAGATGGTGGTGTTCTTTGGCCATTTTTGTCAAACAGGTGTTGTTCAAAGCATAGATTGCAATTGTCCAAAGCTATGGGCCTCTTTGGTGGGTCATATCTTCACTACTTTTTTTTTCATTCAATCCAAATATACATATGTTTATGTACATGTTTATAGATCAAATCTGATATGCTTTACACTACTTTGCCAAAATTAAGCTGGTAAACGGCTCAAAAAAAGGAATGGTTTGGCTTATTTTGGAATAGTTTTTTTTTTTAAAGAAAAAAGTGTAAAAAAATAAATAAAGAGATAATATAATTCAAATAAGTTAATAAATTGACTTTTTTTTTTTTAATTATCAAAATAAATCTTTGTAACTTTTTAACCTACAAAAGTCAAGTTCTCTAACTAAACTGAGGAAAAAAATAGAGAGAGAGAGAGAGAGAGAGAGACAAACAGAGGGAAAGAAAGGTAGTTATTTGTTTTGACATTTTTTACTCTTTGTCCCCTAAATTTATCATAGCCCCTTTGTTGGGACCTTTATTTTATGCATATTTACATTTCTACCCAGTGATTTTAATCTCTCTTTCAATTTCGGTCGCAATTACTGCAGAAATCCTAATTTTGCACTGTTGTGTTGCCGGCACAACATTTGAAACTATCTTTTGTGTGAGAAAGTCAAGGGTAAGTTTGGCATCAGGATTCACTAAAAAAAAAAAACAGTTTGGCATCATCATAAAAAAGTTATTTTATTTTTTTGACGTTAGGATATATATTTTTTAAATTGTGTAAAAAAAAAATTAGGTCCATAAAAAAAACCAAAAGAAAGCCAAAAAAATCTAGGTTTTTTTTTTTTTTTTTTTCTCTCTCTTTAGTACATTTTTTTTAAACTTTCTAATCGATCTAGTCGAATATAACCAAGTATTCATAATTTTCATCGTAAAAATTGATACATTTTTACATTATTCTGCACCTATTTAAGGTGAATAATGTAGATTTTTCTTATATGATATATTTAAATTTTAAGTATTTTTTTTTATAAAAAACGGAGTGCTTGGCATTTTTGTTTTTTTAGGCCAAAATAAATTTCAATAAGTTATTTGGGTCATGGACCATTATTCCAATTACTCACTTGCGCTGGGAAGGCTTGACCCTTGCATGAAGGCAACTCTTAAGCAGCTCTTTTAGTGGGCTTTTGAAGTCTCTAAGGTGTTGTTTAGGAAGTTGGTTAGTTTTTTGGCTTTTTAACTTGTTTGGCTAGTTTAGCTTGAGATAAAAAGCCTGGTTTGGAAAGGATTTTTAGTTTTTTTGATTTTTTTAAATTTATTATGAGAGAAATAAGGTAATGATTATGGGTTGGATGTGATGTTTTATCTTATTGGACTAAAAAGTGCATTTTGTTTTTTATGACTAAAAAAGCCTCAAAAACTTCTTCCCAAACAGAGGCTAAAAGGTTTTTTTTACATTGAAAAATAATATTAATTGTAAAATTCGAATAAGACAAAAATCCACTAAAAAACTCCTTAAAAACGGGCTTCAAATAAGGCTGGATTTCAAAATTAACCCAATTTTAAGGACTATTTGGCCGTTCATTTGTGGTACTAACAAAAAGTATAGTCAAATTTAAAATAGGAAAATGTTTGGTAGCTCAAAATTTTGTGGTTCAAATGGCTCAAATCCCTCAAAACGACGCCGTTTTACACTCATTTACACTCAAAACGACGTCGTTTTGAGGGATTTGAGCCATTTGAGCCACAAAATTTTGAGCTACCTAGCATTGTTGTTTAAAATATTATGTTATATTTTAAGTTTCTTTTTGTTTCACGTGATATTTGAGAATAAAAGACTAAGGTAGGGCTTTCAAAACTTATAATTAAATGACATTTAGGTATAAAGAAAAAAATAAAATGAAAAAACAACTGATGCTTCAGTAGTAAACAAGTTTCATAATCATCCTAAATAAAACATTTTGAAGGTTTATACAATCAATATTAGAATAGTAGTAGTGCTAGTAAGGGGTTATTTGAGATGACTTAAATAAGTGCACATTTTGATTTTTTACGAAAAGATGTGCAGAAAAGTAGAGAGGTGATGTGATAATAAAAAGATGAATTATTTGAAGTATGTCAAACTTAGCTTAATCTCCACTATTGAATCAAGAATTCTCTTACCATTTTTTTTTAAAATTTTTTTTTTGGGGTAGATTGTCGTTGTGTAATTAAATTATAAATGTCCATCGAAAAATTAAAACAATAAAAAAATAATGAATAGAGCCAAAAATAAAATTTAGAAAAGAATGTTTCAATAACCTTAATATATATATATATATATACTTAGGGATTGTTTAGGATGAACTATATAAGTGTACTTTTTTATTTTTTTATTAAAAAAATAGAGGAAAAAAATATGATTTTTTTTGGATAATTTTTTGACTTTTTACGATTAAATGTATATTAAAATATTGTATAAAATAGCAAAATTATCATATTAACCCTATGCCCTACGCTACTAACAGTGACGGTTGAATAGTGCAGTACAGATTGCTTTGAAATGAGACGGTGCCTTCGCAAGATATATAATATATATAGGATGAGGCTTCCCTCTAGTCCTTCATCGGATTGGAGGGTACTATTGGGTCAATGGAGACCTACCACGGGTCCCGTTTCGATAATTTGAACCGTCAATAGGTAGTACTCGTCGAGTAATATATTCTGATAAACAATCACGTTAATCGAATATCTATAACTATGTGATCAAATCAGTTTTGTATGAAAAAAATGGACAATGAAAAATAAACTACTGACAAAAATCTGATTTGATCACATAGCTATCGATATCCGATCAACGTGATTTTTTATAAGAATATAGTACTCGACGAGTTCTACACATTAACCGGTTCAGATTATCGAACCTGGACCTGGCTTCCACAGGCCTAATAGTATCTTCAAGTTCAATGAATATATATATCTAATTTTTTATAGGATATATGAAAAGTACCTCATGGGCCCACACGTGAGCTTGTACTGCAGAGAACAATTTTGGCTTGTACTTTTTTTTGATACTTTTTGTTAAATAGTGATAATTTTTTAATTTTTTTAATAATTTTTTGACTTTTTTATCTTTTATACACTATGCCAAACAAACACTTAGGCTTGGTTTGGGAAGTGGGTTGGCTTTTTGGCTTTTTGGCTTTTTTGGCTTTTTTGGCTATTTTAGCCTGGGCTAAAAAGCTTGGTTTGGGAAGGGCTTTTTGGCTTTTTGGCTTTTTTGACTTTTTTTGTGAGAGAAGAATGTAATGATTATGGGTTGGATGTGATGTTTTGTTTGTTATGACTAAAATAACCTATTTTATTTTTTGTGGCTAAAATAACCAAAAAAACCTGAAAACTAACTTGCCAAACCGAGGCTTAATTTTAAAAAAGATTGATGTTAACCTTGAAATTTTATTGATGGGTAATGGTACAAAGGTGGGCTATTTTAAAGTGATGTGTTTTTGCATGCTAGACCAATACCAAAGTTGGTAGGCTCCACAGATCATTTCACATAGATGCAGTGACTGTCAGCCAGGAAAAATTATGAAAAATCTATAATCTAGTGATAATTTTATAAAATAATTATAAATTTATGGATAAAATTTAAAGTTTAAATTATTAATACTAGCAGCTTTTTATCAGTAAAGAAAAATATCATTAACAGCACAGATGAAGATATATCCTTGATGGGGTGTTCGTTGCTAATGAAGTGGTGGATGGATGGAAGAAGGCCAAGAAGCAAGGGCTGATCCTTAAGTTAGATTTTGAAAAAGCATTTGATTCTGTAAATTGGGAATTCTCATTCTCTATGATATTTAGCTTTGGCTTTGGAGATAAATGGATCTCTTGGATGAAAGCTTGTGTAACTACAGCAAGGATCTCCATTCTAGTAAATGGATCACCTACTGAGGAATTCTCACCCCAAAGAGGCCTTAGGCAGGGTGATCCACTCTGCCTTTTCTGTTCAACATAGTGTCTGAAGGGCTTAATATTCTTCTGGTCAGAGCACTTAACCTTGGCATTCTTATAATCCGAGAAATTTACAATCTCAAAAACCAAATTTAATAGATTCTAATCTCACTTATCCAATCTGTCCAATCAAATACAACCTCAATATAAAATCATGAAGTATCACATTGTGTTGTCGCTAGACCAACAAATAACTATTAGACTCTAGTCTTATCATCTACAAAGATAATTAGTTGGTGTATTTAAAGGCTATACGACAGACATGGTTAAAGACATTCTTGTCCCTACAATATGTAGACTTTTCATCATATAATCATTTTTCAATTTATTACAGTATTATGAAGAGAAAATAACGATAAAATGAGTAAAATATGGATCTGAATATGCTGTACCCAATGGACAAAATTATTCCAATTGCTCTAATTAGGGTTTCATCATTATTACATTGAATGGTAGTTAAAAACAACCACTAGATTTGGGAATTTGTGTGTAATCATCATGATAATGTATAAGCAAATTATCTAGAATTTTGATTGAATTTAGTGCTTGAAAAAGGGACACCTATCTATCATAGATTTCAGTATTGGTTAGAAAGGTCAGGTTGAGTGGTTAAGATAAAAATACAAAGGTTAAGAGCGAATGCTAAAATTACATTTTCTTCCTCAAAGAAAAAGAAAGAAAAAAAAAGAAAAAGAAAAAAAAGAGTTGAGTAAAAAAGAATGAAGTCTCAAACTTATCTACGTTTTTTTATTCTTTCAAAATTTCTATTACAAGTATTTAACCAAAATAATCTGTTAAGTTATATGAGTGATAATTTTGATATTAAAAAAGGTCTTGATGAGTCCATTGTTTTAAAGTGATAGACAAGTAAGACTAACAAATCATTTTAGACATATTTTCTTTCACCATTATTTATTTAGAAAAAATACTTATAATAATATTTACAATTTTGGATAAATTATAAATATACCTTTTGAGATTTGATTAAAATACAAATCGTTCTCTGTGATTCTGGAAATTACATTCCACTACCTGAAATTTCTAATTTCATAACAAATGGTCTCTTTTATTAATAAATCATCAAGTTAATTAACAATTTTTAATGATGTTAGAAATATGTTTTAATTAATAATATAGGTAATTTTATTATGTATAGGAGAGTAATTATAAATTTCATATATTTTAATTAATTC